AGGCCTCTGAATCTTTTAGTTTCCTCTGCATACTTCCTTGTAAAATCCCCCTTGAGCAGATAACCCTGGTAAAGTAATTTAGCAAGAAACCCCACACTAAATATCAGATTATTTTAAACAAATGATTAGGTGTGATGTCTGATCGCCCATGTCCTCAGCAAGAATCCTATTATTTCAGTTTATCCAGAATCTCTCATATTCCTAATGTTTCCTTAGTCATTTTCCATTTGATAATCACCACACAGCTCCTCAGCTGTTAATTTCCACTGCCCATGCTCTATTTGAAGTTGACCCCAATTTCTCTTCCCCAGTGAAACTCTCATTTCCATGGACCTTAAGCTTACATTGATGATCCAAAATAAAGCTTTTCTCACTCCACATTAACCAATGTCTTTGAATCAATTTCTTTAAATAGATTTTAAACATTTTTGAACTGTTTTCCACAGTGAAAACAGTCTTGGGATGTTCAGATTAGTAATAATAAGTACAGAAAAAATGATGGTTTGACAGAGGCTGGGTCAGGTGGGAGGAATGGAAAGATTTGTCATTATTGTGTAATAATAGTTGTTGATTGTTTAGTCTTACAAGATGAAAGGAATCATAAAGATGCGTGGTGGTGATGGTCCTAAAACCTTAAGAGGAAAGATGATAAATTTTATGTAGTATATATTTTATGAAAATAAATTAAAAAATACTAAAAACACCAGTATATAAAATATATATAATCCATAGTGCTTGTTGAAGTGATACATACAGTGACAAAATAATGAGCCATAATGTTATTCCAGTAACAGGTTAAGTAACCTGAATCAATTATGGCCCATCTGTGCTACAGTACAAAACAATACTGATGTCTTACCATTAGCAGAATGTTCCCAGAATAAATTGAGTGTTTCTATAAAGAGAGCATGTGCTTCAGACAGTGACTATTGCCCTACCATTTCCCCATCTTAACCCCTACCATCTTCTCAGGGTACACAGTGACCTGATAGACTTCCATCTTCTAAATTCGTTCACTTTTGAAAAGGTTTTTAAAGCTTCTATGAAAGGCCCATAACACGAATGATACGGGAAGTTGTTGCCAGAATAAATTTTATCCCAACATATTTTGTGATCTTTTCCACCTTTTCCAAGAGACCAAATCACCCTTCACTGGTACATCATTTTCACTGGACTAGAGACCTTGCATTTGCCTTGAAAAAAACTTCAGCATATTTTAATTATAAACAAAACTCTTAGTTTTGACATTTTAAAGATCCTTAATGTGGTATCTCCACCTAAAAGTTAAGTCAGTTGCTTTCCCTGTCCTGAAAATTATCCCTAGGAAACTAAGAACCATTTAGGATTGCCTGAGAGGTATCTTTCATGATATGAAGCAGTCTTAAAGAAAATCATTAGAATATTTTAGAAAATGTTTTGCTCAGCCAAAAAAATGCTCAAGAGACCTATCACTTGGTATTCTGAGCATTATACTGTTCTACTCCAACCACTCTTCCACTACCTCTCTCGTACCTCTTCATGCTCTTCCGTATAATCTTCCACATACTTAACTCTGCTCTTTAACCTCCATCTCCACCCCCACAGAAGATAATACAACAGACTCCAGTTGTAACCAGTTGTAACTTTAACTACCCTAGTTTGGCTACCCTCTCATGTAAAGCCTGTAACAAAGCATTATTAGCCTTAGTGTATAACCTGTGAACCAATACTGATGTTGTAAATGGTTTTTCAGACCCAACTGAGGTCCCATATATGTTGCTAGGGAATTCAATTTAAATGTGTAAACTTTTGAGCCTACATATTGAGACCTTTATCAGCTGACTCAAGCTAGTTCCAAGAGAGTGCCCCAGAATGGATAAAATTGTTTATTGAAACTGTGGTATAGATTTTAATTAAGAACCCAGGAGAATGATAACAAGTCTGCCTCTTAAGAAAAGTTCTTGATGCAGCTATACCATAACTATTTCCAAGGAATGTCGAAGTAAATTTTAACAATAGAAATAAAAGGCTGGATGGATCATTCATTGATTATTTGGAATGATTGAGAGAAAACTTTAAATGGTATTCTAGACAAAGGCAAGCTATCAAATTTATTGAAATGATAGCCTCTTAAGTTCTACCTTCTTTAATTGATTGGATGAAGGTTCTGGTATTTTAGTTAAAGACACCAAATTAGCTGGGCAAATGTCCAGATTCATGACCTTGTTAATCTGGCCAGTCACTCCCCCATAGAGAACATGTGCTCAACAGAGAGAGAATCTGAAAAGATCATCTTTCAGGGAGGACGGCCACTTACTGTTCTCTTCATTTTTAATTTTCTTTTTCAGAGTTTGAACTATTTGTAAAGCTGTATCTTTAAGTTCAGATACTCTTTTGCATAGCCTAATCTTTTGTCAATGCACTTTATAGGATATTTTATTACCTATGTTGTACTGCTTATCTGAAGGATTTTCACTTGAATCTCTTTAATTTTGCTATTGGGTGCATGTCCTCCTCAAAGAGATAGAGAGAGAGAAAGTGAGAAATTATCCCCCAGGCAGATGACACAGCACAATCCCTTCGCTAGTCTCAGTTCAGAATTTTGAGCGTACACACACATGTGATTTTGAAACTTTTGGATCCAGGATTTGAACTGCAGTGTTGTCCATGTGAGATCCAGAATCTTAACCTACACGTCACCTGCTGCCCCTCTCTTTTATTCTTTTTAAAGCTAGTTGTCTTTCTGGAGCTTTCTCAGGTCATTCATTGTTTTTCTCATTTCCTGAAATTTTGTTGCATCTCATTGAGTTTTGGTATAATCAATATCCTGAATTCAGTTTCCAACAGTTATATAATTTTATGTACTTTATTTATTAGAAGGGAGTTAGTATGTTCCTTTGGAAGTGAGATATTTTCTTCTTTTTGGTTTGGGGTTTTGTTTTATTTTTATTTATTCATTTTTAGATTTCTTGTATTCCATTGGATTTCAGGCATCTCATGGAGTACTCCTTCCTGATTTGAGGAGTATCTTATATAGTGGTATATTTAGTTATTTAACTTTATTTAACATTACCATTATTATTTTTCAATTTGACCAGTGACAGAGAGAGGAAAGGTGAGAAAAGAAGCTGTCCTGTTCGGGACTCAAACCACGATTGACCATATAGAAGTCCAGTACCTTTGACTACCTCACTACCTACCTGCATGGTAGTAAATACCACCTAGTGGTGGTGTTTTATTACTATTATTTTTTAGTATTCTTAAGTTATATTCCATATGACTGTAACCTTTAGTACAAGTTAACCACTTGGCATTTAGTAGTAGTTAACCATTTTAGCATTGATTCTCATTGATCTTTCTTTCTTTCTTTCTTTTTTAATCAGGGAACACGATAGACGGGAGGTGATTATCTCTGGAATTAGGTAAGGGTACTCTGTGCCTCCATCCAAAGTTATGGATTAGTGGGACTCAGATGGGGCCCTGTGTAGTGCTAATCATTTACAAGGTCTCAGTGAATCCAGGAAGAATGTGTATGTACCTGTTAGAGGAAGTGGAATCTAGGCAGGGTCCTTCATATGGTATGGAATGAGCAAGTCTTGGACATGGTTTCTGTATGATTCTGAGGGATAAGGACAGATGTGGGAAAATAAGACTCATGTGGTACCAGGAGTGGTGATCCTGTGAGTACAGAGGTTGGTAGGCCAAGCAGGGCTGAGTAGGTCCAGAAAAGCCACCTTGTAAGACCCTAATATGAGGCCAGTGTGGACCCAATAAGTTGTGGACAGGAAAGTTTATAAAGCCCAGAGGTTAGCAGCACAGAATGGCTTCCAAGTGTACCCTAACCAGGCTTAGGTTAAGCTCCCCTTGAGACCAGTACAGCTCATTTGGGCTCGAGTAGGGAAGCCTGCTATGCTAGGATATGGACAGGGCTAAGCAGAAGGAAGGCAGGACATAAGGCCCTAAGTGGAACAGTGTTAGTTGAGGTCCCTTGTAATGCTCAAAGGCCAATGGGGCCAACTAAACCTAAACAGGGTTCAGAGGAGATAGCCCACAAGGCTTGGAGGTGAGACAAGACTAGTGGGTCCAAGCAAAACCTAAGTGGCTGCCCTAGGAGGCCTCAGGATGACCCACAAAATTCAGAAGTAGTCTTAGAGAGGGTGTTAGGAGGAGCTAGAGGAAAACTAAATTTGGTGGGGACAATTTGAGCCTGGATGTGCAGTCGGTAAAGCCTGTGGGTCAGGGATTCTGTGAAACTTGGATGTGGCCCTGATAAGGTAACCTCCTGAGGAATAGAATGTTTCTGAGTCTCAGGGGATCAGGTGAGGTCAGCATGGCTGACCTAGGGTGCCTGGCATCAGCCAGTGGTTGATAAGATCCAAGCAAACTCATGATAGCAGCCAGGTGACTAGATAATGTTCTCCAGCATTATGGCTTTCCTGGGGCAGTGCCCTGTCATCTTCCCTGTAACTGAGATGGCAACCCCTGGTGCTCATTTCTCAGATTCCTTTCCCTCTGATGTTCCTACACTTAATAGTTCAGGGATATTCTGAAGGGCTGCACTGCAGGTGACCTTAGAGGGGAAAAGTAGTCATTCCCTGAGTCTTGAGTCTGAAAAGAGGGAGAGTGTAGACCTGCCAGCTAGTTGGAGGAAATATCCAGATTTCTGTCTTTGATGGGGTTGATACTTTCACACGTACTAGGAGTGGGGGTGGGAATGCACAAGGCTCTTGGTCTACATTGTGCAAAGGAGCTGGTAGTTTTCAGTCATAGGGGGTATTCCCCTCATATCTACCAATAACATAGGATTCCTCTCCTCTGTATTTTCTCTTTCAACCCATAGAACTGTGGAGATTTAAGATTGGTCCTAATCATATTCTGTCCTGTACCACCTAGTTCACTTTCAAGACAGTGCCAAGCTCTTAGGGCAGGGTGGTGAAGAAAATTTAATGTTTACACTGAAGTCCTATAAATTTTACTTTCCTATAATGAGTGTTACCTCCTTGCCAGTTTTATTATGCAGTTGAAGAGTCCTGGGATTTCAGCTTGGTGTATGAAATATGTAGTTTTGGAGGATCATTCCTCTCACCTTCTCCTGTGTGGTGCACAGGGCTCTGAAGTGTATCCAAGTTCAGTTAATTTACTCATTCTTTATGTCTCTAAGCTGAGATTCAGTACAATAGGAGCTTCCAGTCTATTTCTTGCACTTTGTCAGTTTTGCATCACTCCACTGCTAGAAGTGTTGGCATTTATTTGATGCTGTTTCTTTTTAGAGAGATGCCATAGTCGGTGTTTCTCATCAGTCAGATGGATTTTCCTGAAAGGAGATGTTTTTGAACATTAGTTTACCATCTTTTCAGGTCAAAGTTTCCTGAATAAGACTACCTTTTCTTCTCATCAACACTTGTCTCTCAAGTGTTGGCTCTTCGGCAGCAAGCAACTGAACTTTGGTGTGGTCACTGAGACCTAACTCCAACTGCTTCAATAACAATAAAAGGTACCACTTAGAGCAAGCCTATATTTTTTATTTATTTCTAAAATTTATTTTATAGTGAGGAAATAAATCATGATGAGTTAAAATGTTAACACAGTACCTTAAATATTTTATAATCATCTCTTTTAATAAGCTGATATTGGAGAGGATTACATGTTCAGAAGAGTCGGGGCAAGCATATTGCAGGCAAGCAGGTGGCATGATAGTTGAAGCACTGGGTTCCCATGTGATTGACCATGGTTTGAGTCTTAGGCCTGAAGGCCTGCTTTGTCACTTTCCATCTCTTCCCTCTCTCTGTCACTGTCTGGTGAGCACACATGCCAAGTTGCAAATTCAATAATGATAATATTAAATAAAATTAAATAATTAAAAATATTTTAAAGGAATTATTTATTTAGTTAGTTCTATTCATTATTATTATTATTGTAATTTAACCAGTGAGTGACAGAGAAAGAGAGAAAAAGGGAAAGTGAGAAAGCAAGCCACCAGGTCCAGGACTCAAACAGTGGTTGGCCATATGTGAATCCAGTGCCCTTAACCACCATGAGACCTGCTGGCTCCTAATAATTATTTTTTAAAAAGACCATAATACAATGTAATCTAAGCTAGAAAGTTCTTTCTGGAGGTTGGGCAGAAAAAGGAACTCTGCAACAGAGGACTACCATTCCTGTTTGTCATTTTACTAACATTTATTGAGCATTTTTTATGCCTAACTTGTTCATAGGTAGGCACAAGACCTTAACAATGATTAACATAAACACTGACAAATACAAAAATGTAATGGTTCATACGCATATATTAAGATGTCGGGGGGGCCGCAAGGTGGGATGGTGGTTAAGGCGTGCTGGACACCCACATGGCTCACCCCCATGGCGGACTATAGTTTAAATCCCAATCCTGGTGGCTTGCTTTTGCACTTAACATCTCATGGTGGTCAAATTAAAATAATAATGATATTAATAAAAAGTAAAATTAAATAATTGTATAAAAACACAAAAAGAAGGGCAGAAAATTCCTCATGGCTTCGGAGAACTAGTGATTTCAGGAAAAAAAGAGATGAAGATTTCCTACTGATGATTCAGCTGCCAGCCCACACAGTTGAGTGGCAGGAGAGGCAAGAACCCGGCCTGCAGAAAATTTCTCATGGCTTCTGAGAACTAGTGACGTTGCATGGCACCCTTGCACGCTGTGGGGTTTTGTATTCTGTGCTTTTTTAAAATAAAAATTTTCTTTTATTTTTTTTCTTCTTTTTCCCCTCTGTTTCTTTTTTAGTGTTATTGTTGTTTTTGCTCTCTCTCTGTTTCCTTTTTTTTAAAATTTTGTTTGATCTTTCCACTCCTCAATCTCCATTTATTATGTTTCTAGACGAATCTAAGGGAACTGTAGCCAAGCATCCAAATACTATTTGGGTTAACATATTCCTCAATATCTACTGATTCTGCTACACAAAGATTCACAATGGAACAACAAATAGATTCCAGATCACCTCATTCTGCAAGCTCCCGAATGTTCAGATTGAACTCCAAGAATTAGGAAGAAACACATTATCCATCAAATGATTAGAAATCACTGCAGGACCAGAAGAAATATGGGAAAGCAAGAAAATGCCTCTCCTTCAGGGGAAAAGAATAATTCCTCTTCATCTACAGGCAGTTCAATGGAAATTATGAAAATGCCTGATAAAGAATTTAGAATATTCATAATGGCTAAGGTCACAGAGATGGAAGAGAAGAGAGACCAGGAACTGCAGAAGAGAAAGGAGAAAGTAGCCGATGAGTTCTAGGAGGTGAGAAAACTCTTGCAAGAAAGATCTAAAAGAGATCTGCAGGACCACAAGAAATATGGGAAAGCAAGAAAATACCTCTCCTCCAAGGGAAAAGAATAACTCCTCTTTATCAACAAGCAGTTCAATGGAAATCATGGAAATGTCTGATAAATAATTTAGAACATTCATAATGGTGAAGCTAACAGAGATGGAAGAGAAGAAAGACAATGAACTGCAGAAGAGAAAGGAGAAAGAAGTTGAGTAGTTCCATGATGTGAGGAAATTCTTACAAGATCTAAAAGAGGAATTACATACTTTAAAAATGAATCAGAAGGAATTTTTAGAGATGAAGGCTATAATACAGGAAGTCAAAATCTCCCTTAAAAGTATTAAAAGCAGACTAGATTATACAGAAAACAAAATCTCAGATGTAGAAGAGAAAATTGCTGGCCTAGAGAAATCCACCACAAAGACTAAGAAAATGTCCCCAAAATTTGAGAATAATATACGAGAAATACTAGATACCACCAAACATCTAAACATCTGGATAACTGGTATCTCAGAAAGCGAAGAGACTCATAAGGACATTGGTAATCTATTACATAAAATCCTGCAAGAAAACTTTCCAAACCTAGAGAGGCACTCAAAGATCCATTCCCAAGGAATACAAAGGGCCCCAAATAGAATCAACCCAAGAAGATCTTCTCCAAGACACATTATAGCCAGACTGACCAAAACCACAGACAAAGACAAGATACTAAGATTGGCAAGAGGTAACTTTAAGTTACCTACAAAGGATATCCCATCAGTATAACAGCAGGCCTCTCATTGGAAACAATGCAAGTGAGGAAAGAATGAGAAAATATATTCAAAGTGTTAAGGGAAAAGCAATTACAAACAAGAATACTGTACCCCTCAAGATTATCCTTTATGTAGAAGAAACGACAAGAACATTCTCAGATAAACAAAACCTGAAAGAATTTACTAGCACCAGACTAGATCTCCAAGAAATTCTCAAGGAAGTGGTATATCAGTCCCAAGAAATACAGAGACCCAGAAATAAGAATTCAAAACCCAAGAAAATGGACTACTTAGTCAAAGGGACAAGTCCAGAGTTGGATCTTATATCCCAGAACTTAATCAGAAAAATTGAACTGCAAAAGAAGATTAAGTATATGACACTGAATGGGTGAAATAGAAGTTTATAACTTTTTACTTAAACATTACTGATTTCTTGTAGGCTTTGTTGTCTGGTTTTAAGGATTTGTGTCCTGTCATGAGATGACAATAGGTTCATGTACCTACCATTTGAACAGAATCCTAACCTGTTTTAGGCCTTCAGCAGAAGATTCCTCATGGCTCCTGTGAAGTAGTCATTTCAGGGTTAAAGAGAAATGAAGAGTTCCTACTGATAATTCTGCCTCCAGCAAACAAGCTAGTGTGATGACTAGAAATCACTGCAGGACCACAAGAAATATGGGAAAGCAAGAAAATACCTCTCCTCCAAGGGAAAAGAATAACTCCTCTTTATCAACAAGCAGTTCAATGGAAATCATGGAAATGTCTGATAAATAATTTAGAACATTCATAATGGTGAAGCTAACAGAGATGGAAGAGAAGAAAGACAATGAACTGCAGAAGAGAAAGGAGAAAGAAGTTGAGTAGTTCCATGATGTGAGGAAATTCTTACAAGATCTAAAAGAGGAATTACATACTTTAAAAATGAATCAGAAGGAATTTTTAGAGATGAAGGCTATAATACAGGAAGTCAAAATCTCCCTTAAAAGTATTAAAAGCAGACTAGATTATACAGAAAACAAAATCTCAGATGTAGAAGAGAAAATTGCTGGCCTAGAGAAATCCACCACAAAGACTAAGAAAATGTCCCCAAAATTTGAGAATAATATACGAGAAATACTAGATACCATCAAACATCTAAACATCTGGATAACTGGTATCTCAGAAAGCGAAGAGACTCATAAGGACATTGGTAATCTATTACATAAAATCCTGCAAGAAAACTTTCCAAACCTAGAGAGGCACTCAAAGATCCATTCCCAAGGAATACAAAGGGCCCCAAATAGAATCAACCCAAGA